CTAGAGATACTCAGTTCCTGCAACCGTTCTTCATATGTTTTAGCCTCCAGTCCCCTAATCCTCTTCGTTGCTCTTCTCTGCACTCTTTCTGGAGTCTCCACATCCTTTCTACATCGTGGCGACCAAAACTGGATGCCGTATTCCAAATGTGGCCTTACCAAGGGTTTGTAAAGTGGTATTAACACTTCATGTGAAGATTTCACCAAGAACTGCCCTGTTGGAGAATATGCTTAAAGACCACCAGCCACGACCCATAATCCACCGTCCCTCACCCGTGGTTGTTCACAATGATGTCGATCCTTCTGGCATGGCTGCGGTGCGGGGCATCGGCTCCGTAGCATTCCTCAATAAAGAGTTTGGGGAACAGCCCTGGGCTCGCTTGAATGCTGGCTTCCACGTGGATCACAGCACCTTCCGGGTGGATCTCTGGAACAGCTTCAACACTAAAATCCTCTGGAGGGCAGAGACAAAAACAATCACACCTTCAACTCCACAAATCGGCATGCACTATCCGGTGTAGGAAGCTAGCCCCCAGCCCTCTCCTAGGAAAAATGATTTTAGGAGTTATGAAAAGGGCAGAATGTTTCCCTTAAAAAGGAGACGGAAACTCAGCTCCACCCCACCTTTGTCAATGGGCCATTAAGGTCTGAGCCAGCCTATTCAACACAATGAAGATCGACCGTATTTTTCGCAGTATAAGGCGCACCAAGATTTTGAAGAGGTAAAAAAAAATTTAAATGTTTTTTTTTGTACTCTGCAGATCTCCCAAACCCTCTGCATGCCATGTTTTTTTTTAATGCAAAATGGGGCATGCAGAGAGTTTGAGACGCTTGCAAATTGCTCCTGGGGCAAAAACGAGCAAAAAATGGCCCGTTTTTCGCCCTCGGAACACTTTGCAAGCCTCCCAATCCTTCTGCATGTCCATTTTTGTGAAGCGAGCGGGGTTTCGGGAAGCCAAAAATGTTGGCGTCAGTGTATAAGACGTACCCAGATTTTCACCCTCCTTTTGGGGGGGAGGGGGAAAGGTGCGTCTTATACTCTGAAAAATATGGTACCTCCTTCAGGCAGAGCCATAGTAGGAATTCCCCAAAGTCCTTTCGTTACATCATCACTCAGCGAGGCTCAACCAAGCTTGGGGCTCAGGACAGCCTACAGAGTTGCCCCTGCATGGCTCCATGGGAGTCTGACAACCAATCAGAACACAAGCTCAAATTCAAAGCCCAACTGAGCCAGTGGTGGGTACCACATGGAACGCTGTTCCCTTCCCACCAAAGGTGGTTCCTATTTTTCTACTTGCATTTTTTAATGTGCTTTTGAACGGCTAGGTTGGCAGAAGCTGGGACGAGTCACAGGAGCTCACTCCGTTACGCGGCGCTGGGGATTCGAACCGTCGAACTGCCGACAAGCTCAGCGTCTTAGCCATCGAGCCGCCGCGTCCTTTACCCTTGCTTACTTTTGAGTTAAACTATCAGCCTTACCATTCAGGGCTCTTAGGAAGAAAGTCAAGTTGGTGTGGAATTCAGTGGTTTGCAAGAATTGGCTTTCCATCGGTTTCCTGGAGTTGGGACTTGGGAGAATCGGCAAGCCATTTGCCGTAGGTTTCGTGGCACCGTGGGAGTCCCGCCACATCAGTCCCCTCGCAGCTGGAAAAGGAGGAAGCAGAAAAAAAGGTGTTGAACTGGACCAGATGTTCATGCCCATTTTCAAAGCTGGGGGGAAAACACGGTGGCCCAGCAGAAATGGAAAGTATTTCCATTTCCATGAACACCATTAACCAGAGGTGGGTTCCTACCAGTTCGCACCTATTTGGTAGAACCGGTTCGTCAAATCTACCGA